TCCCTGCACAGGAACTGGCCTCTACCGCTCCATCCCCACAGCAGACGAAAACCGCTCTTGGGGTGCATTAAAGTTCATTCATCAACGCCAAGACCCCCACTGCCAGGCGACGTGACGACGAGCGCGGGGAGTGTACGCGTTTCCACGGCTCGGTGGACAAATTCAAAAGATGGGAGGCAGGAATGCGCCCCGGGGGGACGCGAAAGGAATCGATGCACCGCGCTGTGCCCAAAAAACACACAACGGTCTCGCCGCTAGCAACATCGACCCCTGGCAAAGTTGCTTTAGCGAATGCCAATTATGACCTGTGTGGCATGCACAGGGTAGAGATGACATATGCAGAGTACAGTTACACACAGGCAGGAGATGAGATACACGCAGGGTAGAGATGAGATACAGGGTAGAGATGAGATACACGCAGGGTAGAGATGAGATACACGCAGGGTAGAGATGAGATACACGCAGGGTAGAGATGAGACACACGCAGGGTAGAGATGAGTTACACACAGGGTAGAGATGAGATACATGTAGGGTAGAGATGAGATACAAGCAGGGTAGAGATGAGTTACACACAGGGTAGAGATGAGATACACACAGGGTAGAGATGAGATACCCACAGGGTAGAGATGAGTTACACACAGGGTAGAGATGAGTTACACACAGGGTAGAGATGAGATACACACAGGGTAGAGATGAGATACACACAGGGTAGAGATGAGTTACACACAGGGTAGAGATGAGATACACGGAGGGTAGAGATGAGTTACACGCAGGGTAGAGATGAGATACACGCAGGGTAGAGATGAGTTACACGCAGGGTAGAGATGAGATACACGCAGGGTAGAGATGAGTTACACGCAGGGTAGAGATGAGATACACACAGGGTAGAGATGAGATACATGTAGGGTAGAGATGAGATACATGTAGGGTAGAGATGAGATACATGTAGGGTAGAGATGAGATACATGTAGGGTAGAGATGAGATACAAGCAGGGTAGCGATGAGATACACACAGGGTAGAGATGAGTTACACGCAGGGTAGAGATGAGATACACACAGGGTAGCGATGAGATACACACAGGGTAGAGATGAGTTACACGCAGGGTAGAGATGAGATACACACAGGGTAGAGATGAGTTACACACAGGGTAGAGATGAGATACATGTAGGGTAGAGATGAGATACAAGCAGGGTAGAGATGAGTTACACACAGGGTAGAGATGAGATACACACAGGGTAGAAATGAGATACCCACAGGGTAGAGATGAGTTACACACAGGGTAGAGATGAGTTACACACAGGGTAGAGATGAGATACACACAGGGTAGAGATGAGATACACACAGGGTAGAGATGAGTTACACACAGGGTAGAGATGAGATACACGGAGGGTAGAGATGAGTTACACGCAGGGTAGAGATGAGATACACGCAGGGTAGAGATGAGTTACACGCAGGGTACAGATGAGATACACGCAGGGTAGAGATGAGATACACGCAGGGTAGAGATGAGATACACGCAGGGTAGAGATGAGATACACGCAGGGTAGAGATGAGACACACGCAGGGTAGAGATGAGTTACACACAGGGTAGAGATGAGATACATGTAGGGTAGAGATGAGATACAAGCAGGGTAGAGATGAGTTACACACAGGGTAGAGATGAGATACACACAGGGTAGAGATGAGATACCCACAGGGTAGAGATGAGTTACACACAGGGTAGAGATGAGTTACACACAGGGTAGAGATGAGATACACACAGGGTAGAGATGAGATACACACAGGGTAGAGATGAGTTACACACAGGGTAGAGATGAGATACACGGAGGGTAGAGATGAGTTACACGCAGGGTAGAGATGAGATACACGCAGGGTAGAGATGAGTTACACGCAGGGTAGAGATGAGATACACGCAGGGTAGAGATGAGTTACACGCAGGGTAGAGATGAGATACACACAGGGTAGAGATGAGATACATGTAGGGTAGAGATGAGATACATGTAGGGTAGAGATGAGATACATGTAGGGTAGAGACGAGATACATGTAGGGTAGAGATGAGATACAAGCAGGGTAGCGATGAGATACACACAGGGTAGAGATGAGTTACACGCAGGGTAGAGATGAGATACACACAGGGTAGCGATGAGATACACACAGGGTAGAGATGAGTTACACGCAGGGTAGAGATGAGATACACACAGGGTAGAGATGAGATACACGCAGGGTAGAGATGAGATACACACAGGGTAGAGATGAGTTACACGCAGGGTAGAGATGAGTTACACACAGGGTAGAGATGAGATACACAGGGTAGAGATAAGATACACACAGGGTAGAGATGAGTTACACACAGGGTAGAGATGAGATACACGGAGGGTAGAGATGAGTTGCACGCAGGGTACAGATGAGATACACGCAGGGTAGAGATGAGTTACACGCAGGGTAGAAATGAGATACACGCAGGGTACAGATGAGATACACGCAGGGTAGAGATGAGATACATGTAGGGTAGAGATGAGATACAAGCAGGGTAGCGATGAGATACACACAGGGTAGAGATGAGATACACACAGGGTAGAGATGAGATACACACAGGGTAGAGATGAGATACACGCAGGGTAGAGATGAGTTACACGTAGGGTACAGATGAGATACACGCAGGGTAGAGATGAGATACACGCAGGGTAGAGATGAGATACACGCAGGGTACTGATGAGATACACGCAGGGTAGAGATGAGATACATGCAGGGTAGAGATGAGATACACGCAGGGTACTGATGAGATACACGCAGGGTAGAGATGAGATACACGCAGGGCAGAGATGAGTTACACGCAGGGTACAGATGAGATACACGCAGGGTAGAGATGAGATACACGCAGGGTAGAGAAGAGATACACGGAGGGTAGAGATGAGATACACACAGAGTAGAGATGAGATACACGCAGGGTAGAGATGAGATACACACAGGGTACAGATGAGATACACGCAGGGTAGAGATGAGTTACACGCAGGGTAGAGATGAGATACACGCAGGGTAGAGATGAGATACACACAGGGTAGAGATGAGATACACGCAGGGTAGAGATGAGATACACGCAGGGTACAGATGAGATACACGCAGGGTAGAGATGAGATACACACAGGGTAGAGATGAGATACACGCAGGGTAGAGATGAGATACACGCAGGGTAGAGATGAGTTACACGCAGGGTAGAGATGAGATACACGAAGGGTAGAGATGAGTTACATGCAGGGTAGAGATGAAATACACGCAGGATAGAGATGAGATACACGCAGGGTAGAGGTGAGATACATGCAGGGTAGAGATGAGTTACACGCAGGGTAGAGATGAGATACACACAGGGTAGAGATGAGTTACACGCAGGGTAGAGATGAGTTACACGCAGGGTAGAGATGAGATACACGCAGGGTAGAGATGAGTTACACGCAGGGTAGAGATGAGATACACGCAGGGTAGAGATGAGTTACACGCAGGGTAGAGATGAGATACACGCAGGGTAGAGATGAGTTACACGCAGGGTACAGATGAGTTACACGCAGGGTACAGATGAGATACACGCAGGGTAGAGATGAGATACACACAGGGTAGAGATGAGATACACGCAGGGTACTGATGAGATACACGCAGGGTAGAGATGAGATACACGGAGGGTAGAGATGAGATACACACAGGGTAGAGATGAGATACATGTAGGGTAAAGATGAGATACACGGAGGGTAGAGATGAGATACACACAGGGTAGAGATGAGATACACGCAGGGTAGAGATGAGATACACACAGGGTAGAGATGAGATACATGCAGGGTAGAGATGAGATACACACAGTGTAGAGATGAGATACACACAGGGTAGAGATGAGATACACACAGGGTAGAGATGAGATACACACAGGGTAGAGATGAGATACACGCAGGGTAGAGATGAGATACACGCAGGGTAGAGATGAGATACACGCAGGGTACTGATGAGATACACGCAGGGTAGAGATGAGATACACGCAGGGTAGAGATGAGTTACACGCAGGGTACAGATGAGATACACGCAGGGTAGAGATGAGATACACGCAGGGTAGAGATGAGATACACGGAGGGTAGAGATGAGATACACACAGGGTAGAGATGAGATACATGCAGGGTAGAGATGAGATACACACAGGGTAGAGATGAGGTACACGCAGGGTAGCGATGAGATACACGGAGGGTAGCGATGAGATACACAGGGTAGAGATGAGATACACACAGGGTAGAGATGAGATACGTGCAGGGTAGAGATGAGATACACGCAGGGTAGAGATGAGATACACCCAGGGTAGAGATGAGATACACACAGGGTAGCGATGAGATACACGGAGGGTAGAGATGAGATACACGCAGGGTAGAGATGAGATACACACAGTGTAGAGATGAGATACACGCAGGGTAGAGATGAGATACACACAGTGTAGAGATGAGATACACGCAGGGTAGAGATGAGATACACGCAGGGTAGAGATGAGATACACGCAGGGTAGAGATGAGATACACGCAGGGTAGAGATGAGATACACACAGTGTAGAGATGAGATACACGCAGGGTAGAGATGAGATACACGCAGGGTAGAGATGAGATACACGCAGGGTAGAGATGAGATACACGCAGGGTAGAGATGAGATACATGTAGGGTAGAGATGAGATACAAGCACGGTAGCGATGAGATACACACAGGGTAGAGATGAGATACACGCAGGGTAGAGATGAGATACATGCAGGATAGAGATGAGATACACACAGGGTAGCGATGAGATACACGGAGGGTAGCGATGAGATACACAGGGTAGACATGAGATACATGCAGGGTAGAGATGAGATACACGCAGGGTAGAGATGAGATACACGCAGGGTAGAGATGAGATACACGCAGGGTAGAGATGAGATACACACAGGGTAGAGATGAGATACACAGGGTAGAGATAAGGGGTTGGAGGTGAGGACCCACCCCTTCCAGCGCTCGGGCAGGCAGGGGCTGCTGAATCCGCTCTCCCGGTCCTCGCCACTGCTCACCCCGGACGTGCTGCCGGCCGCCACGGGGGAGATGGCGCCGAGCGAGGACAGCTCCAGCTCGCCCAGGCCGCTGGACGACAGCGCGGCGTCATCGCCACCCACTCCCGCCGGCTCGGGGCTCGACGTGGCACCGGTCTCCATCGCACACGCGAGGCCCTCACCGCTTGCGTCCGATACCTCCTCAGAGCCGTCTGCTTCCGCAACGTCATCCTCCCCCTCCTCGTCGTCCTCGTCGTCCCCCTCCTCATCCTCCTCCGCCTCATCCGAGCCAGGAAAGGGCGGCTCCGGGTCTGCCGGGCCACTCGACGGGAGCGCACACAGCGGCCTCCCCTCCACGGGGCCGGCTTGAGGGCCCGCGCCATTTGCCGACACCCATGCGAGATCCCCGGGCTCGGCCTCACTGTCACCACGACTGACTGTCTCCTCCTCCGAGACAGACGCTTGCGCGACTTCATTACCATCGTTCTTCCGATCCTCCTCCTCTTCTTCCTCCTCCTCCACCACCTCCACCTCCTCCACTGCCTCCTCCACCAACTCCTCGATGGGAAAGGACAACTCCTGCGAGGCACGGTCTTCCTCTTGAGGAAGGGGCAGCAGCTCTGCTGACTCTGCATCACAAGGGGCGATGTCCATGTTGGGAGACTCCCTGCACTGGCCGGGTGTCACGCCCATGGCCCTGTCTGGCTCGACAACACTGGACAACACCTCGGCAGCGAGAAGTCCTGCGGCCGGCCCGCCGTGCAAGGGCCCTCCGTTAGCATTCCCCTCCGTTGGCGCCTCTCCACTCTCGCCCGGGGCGTGACGCGACCGGGCTACGTCCGTGACGCTGCCATCGCCATCCTCCGTTTCTACGGCCTCCTCCTCCTCGTCATCGCCATCGTCCTCCTCGATGGGAGTCAGTTGCCCCGGCAAGGGCGTGCCGTCAGTATCCGAGCTGAATGACCAGCCGGGTGGGGCTGGCATCACGTCAGAAAATTCCGGGCCAAAGCCACTTGTCAGCAATGAGGCGCCATCGTTTGTGTTGTCGGTGGATTCCCACAGTGCCCATCCTGCTATTGTCAGTTCGCTATTCACGCTCTCGTTTGGCGCCTTCCCTTTGCTCGAATCTGCAGCGGAATGAGAGCCAGCTACATCATCGTCTCCCACCTCCACCTCCTCCTCGGCCGCTTCTACGTCGTCAGCATCGGGAGGAGGTGGCGTACCATCGGGCGCGTCGTCGTCGCGAGGGGCTGTATCGCGGTCCACGCTGAATGACGTGCTGCCATCGAGAGGGTTCGCGTGAGGAGACTCATCCCAGTCCGCGTCGCTCCGCGTGGGCCAGTTGCCACTAGCTGCATCGACAGCAGTGGATGCGGCGGCAGTGGACTCCTCGTCGTCATCCTCGTCGTCATTCACGTTCGCTTTCCCCGCGGGCGCTACACTCGGAACCGGAGCCTCATCCCAGCCGGCTCTGCCCGCGATCCCCTCGCCGCCGTCACCGCCCTCTGTGTCAGCTGCTGGAACAACGGCTCGTGCCTCCGGCTGCTCGGCATCGGCAGATGGCGGCTCCTGCGCGGCTTCCCCACCGTGCAGACCACCGTCAAAACCCAGAGCCCAGAAGGGGCTGGGTTCAACGAGCGGTCCATCAGAAGACGCGTTCAGGTCTAGGCCACTCCCCAAGGGCATATCGTCATTCATGACTGAGGCTGCAGACTGCATGGCAAAGCCATCGTTCATAAGCTCGTTACCGACACACTCCAACTCGTCTCCGTCAATGATTTCATATCCACTGCTCCCTTCCAAGGTGGCTATTTCCACAAGGCCATCATCATTCTTCCACTCCACGTCGGGAAAAGGAAACTCCTCTACTTCGCCCTCATCAGGTAGAGTACTCACTAAATCTATACCTGGCAAGGGACTGGACTGGGTGAGAATCGCATCAAAGAAATCGTCCGAGACCGGGAGCTTTGATAGAAGCGCATCATCACTCAAGGCAGCGACAGGCATCGTGTGCAGACCTGTGTTCGTTGGCTCATCATCCAAGTTATTCTGCATAACCACTTCATTGCTCAGACCCAGAAGGTCGCTTGATGTTGCTCTGCATGCTATCGCATCTCTACTGTCCTCCTTGGGCTCAACTTCTCCCGTGCTGCCGCCGCTGCTGTTGTTGTTGTTGCGGTTGCTTTCGCCAAACTCCAAGCCTGCATGAGCCTTCCCTTCCGCCGCCGCGGCACCGTCGAGGGGGAGGATGTCAAAGCCCAAGTCCGATGGGGGTCGAGTGGCGGAGCGGTCTGGGCTGCCGGGCGCCATTTCCAACTCGTCGTCCAGGCCCAGGCTGCTGGACGAGAGCAAGTCGTCACTCGCGGTGAAGGCAGACATGGCGGGCAAGTCGGTGTTGGTCAGCTCGCTCAGCTGGCTCACCACGGTGAGGTCCTCCCCGCTCAAATCCATGGCATTCTCCGGCCTGGCCTGGCCGCCTCCTGTGCCAAACTCGTGAAAGGGTGGTGCATCCGTGACGCTCTCGTCGTGTGGGAGGAAGTCAAACTCCAGGCCAAGTGAGGGTTGTGTCCCAGCCAGGACAGAGAAATCTGAGGCGACCTCCGCGGACTCAATCAGGCTCAGACCTAGGAGGTCATGTGATGCTTGCTCGAGGCTCACAGCGGACAGTTCAGCATTCGTGCTCATGACCCAGGGATCTGGGCCATTTGGGCTGAATGTTGAGTCCGAATCCTTTGGGCTGAACGTTGAGTCCGAATCCTTAGGGCCGAACATTGAGTCTGAATCCTTCTGGGATATGAGGCCCCAAAAGTTGTCTGGGTTTTGGCTCGGAGCGCTTTTGCTTGGCATGACGTTATCGAGGTCGAGTCCCAACAGGTCGGCGTCATATTTCCCGCTCACCAACTGCTCAACTGAGAGTTCTGCGGATTGTTGATTTGTGGTGGCGGCAAATCCATCGAAATCCAGGCCCAAATATTCCGACGGGTTTTCATTTGTCGAAATAAAGCTGTCAAAGCGTCTGCCCAGCCCAAGCTCGAACACATTTTGAAGGTCTTGAGACTTCATCAGAAGGGGCGAACCAAAGTCCCCACGACCCACTTTGTCTTCATGCTGATGCCCTCCGTCGATGACCTGCGGTGCTGCCTCAAGTGAGACAACCAGGTCTGAGCTGAACGCCCCACTCACGGCCCCGCTGCCTTCCATTGCCTTTCTTTCAGAGCTCGCCAGTGGCCACTGCCGAAGGATAACTCAGCAGCGTGTGAATCCTTGAAGCTGCCCTCCTATGTCCACTTTTTGAGCGGCACGTGCGTAGAGACGTGTGGTGTGAACCCTGCCGAGCGGACACAGGCACACGCGGGGATCCGCCACTGGTCAACAAAGCAACAAACATCCCCATTCACTCTTACAGACGACAGAGGCAAGCACTGCTGGAGCGAGCATCTACCGAGTCCAGGACGGCACTCGAGAGGGGGTGGGGTGCGGCCCCAAACACCCCGGGTCACCTTTGTCTTTCCAGTACTGATACTCACACACCATGAGACTGGGTCGACCTAGGGGAGGCCCAGGACTGGTCCCAAGATATTCATCACTCATGTTGGCCATGGCTGGGGCTTGCACCCAGGTCGCTGGCCAAGCTTCTGTGGCCACTGTGGTCATGTGCACAGGACAGGGCTGTCGTGGGCCAGATGATTCCCAACTTACTGCCAGCCAGAGCCACCCAAAGGCCACCCTCCCTCTGGCCACAAGGGGAAAGCCCGAGAGCATCTCTCTGCAGGCCACCTGATGTAACAATTACACAATGGGCACGCTCACAAATTCCGAATCGTAGAAAATCGTAGAAAATTAAATAATAATTCGTGGTAAATGGTTTTCCCTGTCAAGTGGTAACGAAATACAATTTAAAGAGCTGACACTAAATTACAATGCCTCTGCTGTGCATGGATTTTGTCTGTCTGCTCCTACGATTGGGAAATCGATATACAGTACAGCAAAGCATAACCATGCTATTAACTGACCAATCACAATACTTCCTGTTGTCGGTCAGTTATCGATTGAGGTCACCTGACCAACAATGGATGCCCCCTAATTGGCCAGATTCAAAATCCAAACTAAACACTTGACCAATCTGCGTGTTCGGTTCAGGTGCATGGGGCAGGCAGCAGAAGGATCCTTGTGTTAAGTGGGAAATGTAGAGAGCCAATGGAATGCTGAGCACGTGGTGTATGGTGGGTGGTGAGTTGATGGCTGGTGAGTGGCGGGTATCAGGATAGCGGCGAATATCTGGTGAGTGGTGAGTGCCTGGTTAGTGGTGTCAAGTGAATGGTGAATATCTGATGATTTGATGGCCAGTGTCTGGTGAGCAGTGGATGTCTGACAAGGGTCGGACGTCATGTGTCACATCACCCCGTCTGTAGGACGAGCTGCAATCGAGGACATATGTACTGTATAACACTCTTTGGTTCTTTAGGTAAAGTCACTTAGGTAGAAAAATAAATAATACATCACGACGTTTCGATCGCAACACAAGGAAACGTCATCAGGTGGAAAGATACAGCAGTAGAACTGCTGAACAGGAAAGAGCTGCTGCTGCAACAAGAGGCTATATAGAGGTTTGAGGTGGGTGTCACCCAAGGGTAAGTAGGTGGGGTCAGAGATGGAAAGGAGTCCCGTCGCCGTACACACGCACGCACGCACAACAGCTGCGTTAAAGGGAGAGAATGGCATGTTAATGTCAACGAGTATAATGGGAAATGAGCCCCGTCGTCGCACACAAGCAACGTCGCTGCACGCACGCACAGCAGCTGCGTTAAAGGAGGATTGGAATATAATAGTCGACGGCTCGGGCAGCGGCCTTGTTCCTTGTGTACAAACTATGGTTCGTTTCTGCGCGCGTTTGTTTGCTGGCTCTTGGGTTGTGTCTTAGGCCGGAGAGGGAGCTTCGACTTTGGCTTCTCCAAACGGCACAAAAACCCTGGGGCCCCTTCAGCAGATTGGGAATGGTAACAACACCAGGAATAAGCCCACAAGGTCTGTTTCACCAAAAAAAAAACCCAATGCAAACTAAAACAACGCATCACGTGTGTTCACACATGGGTGTATTTGTTTCAGCAGAAAATCCCAAGATTGGTTTAGACTTCTCCGAGTCTCACCAGAAGAGTGCGGTCCGGTCGACAGATGCCGCCGTGCTGCCTTGGCGTTACTGAGCAAGGGGCATCAAACACCGCGGGGACGCTCGGCGTGGCACGGACCGTTCCCACTTTCAAATCCAAGCCCCGTGTTCAACTCGCCACAAGGAACAAAAACATCTCAAAATAACTCGAGCGCAGCTCTAGCCGAGGAGGACAACAAAGGACTTCCGAATGGAACTTTAATTTGGAAAACAAGAGCTGTTTAGATTCTCTGCTGCACGAGCATTTGATCTTGACAAAGTTTACTCTAAGACGACAGCTGATGGTGCACGCTGCTGCCGCCACTGTTGTGATCGGTCATGGTTCCAGGCTCCGAAAATTAAGAGAGACAGTGGAATCCATGACTGGTTTTTTAGTCATGAAACCGCTCACGTTGGGCTTGGGCTGCTCTCTCTATTGCTGAGAGCCCCTCAGCGAAGAAGTTTGGATTTCAATAAAAGATCATTCCCATCGCACTGTCAGTTTAACATCATCATCAGCATCACAATTTCGGACCTTAGTTCTAACATTCAAGAATTATTAACATTCCGTAATGTAGCAGCTACTAGAGCCATGTGAAGCGGTTAAAATCCGAAACTCTCCCCACAATCAATGCACCACCCCCTGGCAGAGAACAGTCGGGAACAGGATGCAAGAGAACTAGTTCTGAAGGCCCTTTACACCAGGCCTCATTATCTACACTAGGCGCACAACACACGTTATATCACCAGTTCTCGCTGTTCTTAGTATGGCAATCAAACCTGACACTTTTACATTTTTAAGGGGCTGGAATTTTGCCAACATAGGGCCAAATCGAAATGTTAATTTTGACGAGTTTTGTGGTGACCAGGCCGAGACCGTCAACTCGGCTACACTTGAGAAATCAGGTTCACCAGGTTTACAGGCAGGCGATGCCGGCTGAGCCTCACAGGAGCCGAGGCCACCCGGCCCCATGTAGGCCAGGCCTTCACAGAGAGCGAGACGCAGTCCTGGCCAGCGATGCACTTTGCTCGCTGGGTGCCCTAAGCCAGTGGTGGAAATCCCCTGTTCCCATGGCGAGTACCCATGTCTATACAGAACTACTCCTCACTTCCCACTAAGTGGTGTGCTCAGTGTGTTTAGCCTGTTGGGAGGGTGGTTTAAGTCGGGACATGAAGCTGTAGAGTTTTCGATGTTTTAAATACGATATGCGAAGGGTGGAGCAGTGGGTGCAGTGGTTAGCATGCTGCACTATGAACCCGGGCAACCTGGGTTCCATTCCCCACCATGGCCAACATCAGTGTGGCGAGTGATATCAGAACCAGTGCTGCCCTCCTTCCTTCACCAACCTGCACTGGTCAGTGTGGTGAAACTTGGTTAAAACAAAAACCCATGACTGACATGGCATGGGGTGGCCTTCAACCATTGATGGTAGAGAGTGGCTGGAATGTATGATTATTTTTCCTATGAGTTACATTTATACAACAGAGCGACATTTTTCCAAAGACTCAACGCACTTGTACAGAAATGTCCTTGGAGCATTGAGTAGGCATTTAATTTAAGCACGTTTGGCTATTTTAGGTGTTTCATAAGACGCCACCAGGGTGAAATTGCCTCTGGGAACTCGTGTCGTATAGCACACAACGTGGGCATGTTACACATATATATTTATTTTTCACACAAAGCAATAATGAACGCCAGCAAACCATGACGGATCATTCTCAGCTGTCAGCAAGTATATTTGGGAGAGCGGAAAAATCATAATCATCTTAATTTCCCCCATTGCTGAAGAACACGAGGATCGCACAAATAAATCACGCGAGGCTGAGAGAAGGCGGCACTCGCAACATTATCCGCCGTTCTATTGAGAGCAACAGAACAGCAATCTTCTCAAACGCCAACCCACGACGTCCCACGAAACTCGACGAGAAACGCGGCTCCGCTTGCCCCTCCACCAGCAATCAGGGCACGTGAGTGGCGCAATCAGGGCACCGTGCTCACAGCGCTTGGCTCCCAGTGGCAAGGATGTGAGTCCAACATCCGGTGAGCGATTAACTCAGTGGGCCGTGATCCCCCTGGGGGTTAATGGAATGTTGTACCAAGGAATCGGGATGCAATGATTCACCAAAATCCGCCCGAGTTGCTGTAATCATTTATTCAACAAAACCTTTCTTTAATATTAATGTCAATGGAGCTCCTCTATTGGTTACAGGGGTCACGTGAACCGAACGCACGTATGGATTTGGAAAACATGATGCTTACACAAGACACATTTCAATCTTGAGGAATCTAATTGATTTCAACTGATGAGTCGATGCAGCGTTACATGCCAAGTGGGAAATCGACTGTGCTTGTCCTACGGATAAACTGACACCTGGCCATGGGAACGTGGAATTTCTACTACCGACTCAGTGCCACCAACGGAGGTGAGCAATGCCCCCGTTCCTGTCTTGGCAAGGTCACAGCGACTTTAAAATCCACGCGAGAGCAGTTTCACTCCAAGAGCCATCGGGGATAAAACAATGGCACAACCGATCGATGCATTTTCCAAATGACGTAAAAACAAAGAAGCATTGATTTTATTCCTGCGATTACAACACGTATATATATTTTTTGCCACTGGTCGTTAAAGCCGCAGCAAAGATTTGCGGTAATAAATAACGAGTGAGAGGTTCAAAACAGTGAGACCGTTTCGAAAGGGATCCGGCCTCTGTTAGTGCCGTTCACGTGCTGTGCCGATCATTGACCGGCCTCCCAGCGAATGATTGAGAAGAATTCGTGGTGCTCGCTCGCACATTAACGCGGTGCCGATCCCTCACACACGTGACGGCGACTCCCCAGCCTCAGCGATGTCGCTCGAAAACCCCCCGGGCCGCTGCCACCCGGCATCACGGTAGGGCCCCCACTTTGCGCCCTGACGCTGTCTCACGAAGCAGGCCCGCTCGAAGATGCTGCCCTCGCTACCGGTGGCCTGGCCCACATTGGGCCAGAGGCGACCCGGGCGTCGAGCCGAGAAGAGGGTGGAAATTTACCACGGGAGTCTCATAATAATACAGTCATAATAATGCGAATTTATAGATACGCATACCGAAAAGTCTAAAGGCAGTAACATCTTGACTTCCTCGTGCCAAGGCCCATTGCATCCACACGACTACGCCACAGACTCGCGCTCCTATTCTGCTCT